AATGGACAATATTGGCATCTAAATAGAGTATTAACTAATTATAGTGCTATTAAAAGCTATTATGTATCTAGCTTCCCAATTAAAAAATGTATAAGGTTTTATATTTGTTTAGATGTCTTGTTTGGGGGAAAATTTTGCAAGAAGAACAGAAGAGTTAGGATCAAAAGATGTTTTATTTAGTGCTGCAAATGGTATGTTTTTACCTTTTATTTTTTCTGAAAGGTAATCCAAATCAAGCACTGAGTTCATTTAGAGTATACTAATAATGATATCAGCTACTACTTGTTTGTTTGATTGTTTGTTTTTAGCAACTACTGGTTTTCATCATAATGTGCCAGGTACTGAACTAGATGTTTTCCATGTATTCACTTGTTTGCTCCCCACATAATCCCTTTTAGAGAGAAAACACTATCCCATTTTTGGATTAGGAAACCAAGGCTCAAAATGGTTAACTCCTCCCAAGTCACAAAGCTAATAAGTAATAGAACCTGTGTTCAAATTCCCAATTCTTTCTATTCACCATGAGAATCCAAAAGGACTGAAATGAGAAGACAGGTTGATGATGTAAACATGATAGGACAAATGAGGAAGAAGAATGAGAGCCAGAAAGAAAATAAGACAAGAGTAGAACAGGAAAGATAAGGAAAAGAAACCAGGCCCTGGCCAGTTTGGCTCAGCAGTTAGAGCATAGGCCCTTGGACCAAAGAGTCGCAGGTTCGATTCTGGTCAAGGGCACATGCCTCTGTTGTGGTTCGGTCCCTGGCCCTGGTTGGGGTCATGTGGGAGGCAGCCAATCTATGTGTCTCTCTCACATCGATGTTTCTCTCTCCCTTTCTCTCTCTCTCTCTCCCTGCTTCCCTCCCACTCTATCTGAAAAATTAATGGAAAAATATCCTCAGATGAGGATTAAAAAGAAGAAGAAAGGTAAGGAATCATTTAGACCGAGTCTTTTAGAGGGGTACTGCCTTTAATAACTGTAATCATTCTATATCATCATAACTGATGCTTTTTTGAGTCCTGTTGGACATCTTACCAGACAGACCCACTTCCCACCTTGTGGAGTACCTCTGGGGGCTATTTTCAAAGTACAGATATACAAGAAATCTACCACATAGTCCGACAGCTTCTAGGAGCTGGAAGAAAATCAAATTGGAATGATTTAAATTTAAATGTATCCTCAGAGTTTGTGCTCTAACTTTATTTTGGCTTTGCAGAAAATACTGTAATTTTAATTCGCTGGAAAGTAGATAGGATCTTTCATGGGTGGTAAAACATAAGAAACTTGTCCAAATGTAAAGAGAAAAAGAAACAGTTTTCTCTTGTGGGTCAGTTTCATAGTACAAATATTCCTCACTGGGTACACACAAGCTGGTATTCATCAAAATAGTAAAAGACATGCCTAATGTTCATTGAGTAATTACTATGTACTAAATGCTTTACAAGTTTCTAATGGTCAGGAAGAGCCTAGGAAGTCGGTACCATTATGACAAACCACCCATTTTAGCAATGAGAAAACTGAAGTTCAGAAAGTTCAACAACTTAAGGTCACTTGGCTAGTGAGCAGCAGAGCGGAGATTTGAATCCCAGGCCCTTGAGCATAACACTACACTATACAGACATGCCCAGTGACGGGACTGTGAGTGTGTAACCAGTAACTGCATTTTTTGACATCAGTATTCCAGAAAATAAAGGAGATGGGGGAGAAGAAAAGGAAAAGATAATTGCCTCAAAACTAGGATCAGCTCTTGCAAGAAAGATACGTGAGTTGAGTGAATGGAAGTAGCAGAGGTCACACGAACACGCTGTGGCCAGGAAAGGGTGGGAAGGGAAAGATGGGCAAAAAGGAATACAAGTATGAAGTATAAAGGTGAAACAAAGCATGCAGAGTGAAAGGGAAAGGAAGGGATGTCGTGGAAATCTTTAGAATAGAGTATGGCCCTGGCCAGTTTGGCTCAGCGGTTAGAGCATCGGCCTGCGGTCCGGAGAGACCCGGGTTCGGTTCCCGCTGGGGGCATGTACTTCGGTTGCAGTTTGTCCCCGGCCCTGGTTGGTTGTGCGGGTGGCAGCCACTCGATGTGTCCCTTCACGTCGATGTTTCTCTCTCTCTCTCCTTCCTCTCTCTCCCTCCCACTCTATCTGAACAAAAAATGGAAAAATGTCCTCGGGTGAGGATTAAAAAAAAAAAAAAAAAAAACAGAATAGAGTATGGAAATTATATGGCTAACTCTTGAATGAATTAAGGGCATTTCTCTAATTTACCCTTTTTATTTCGAATTCCATGGGCTAAACTGACTCATTCAGCTCAGCCTTTGGAATCAATAGTGTTTGTTCTAACAGTTTTACCGACCCCGAGTAACACTCAATTCCACTTTGTAAGGTGTCCCCGTGAAAGGTGGCTGTGTTGTTTGGTCTCTTTTTTTCTCTCTCTCTCTTGAAAGTTAATTAAATCAACATTAACCATGCCTGTGTAACCACAGAATGGGCAGTTTCTTGAAGGCTCATGGGTTGGATCTTTTTCTGCAAAATTCCCACTTCTATAGTTATATTTAGTGTTTGTTTGTTTTATTAATCCTCACCCAAGGATATGTTTATTGATTTGAGAGAGAGAGAGAGAGAGAGAGAGAGAGAGAGAGAGAGAGAGAGAGAGAGAAAGAGAGAAAAGGGAAGAAAGGGGGAAAGAGAGAACGAAACGTCAATCAGCCCCCTCCAGTACGTAAATTGACCAACGATTGAACTTGCAACCTAGGTATGTGCCCTGACCGGGAATTGAACCCACAACCTTTTGGTGCACGGGATAATGCTCCAGCCAGCTGGGCCACCTGGCCAGGGAATATTTAGCATTCTAACTGCCAGGGTAGCTGGCATGTGTCAGGGCAGTGCTGGGCCTTGTTTGCAGCCGAGTTTGTCTGCTTCGTGGAACCCCTGTGCCAAGAGTATGCAGTTCTCAATGGACAGGCTCCCGTTCAGCCTCTCTTGTTTCTTCTTCAGAAATCTCCGGGGGTTAGCATTGCTGATTTGATGCTATATGGTCCTGCCATTCTCAAAACTGTTTACTTGACACTTTAAAAAAAATGTTTGTGTCCATACCCTTAACTCTGAAAGTAATATAGTATCATCAGTGTTTGTGGTATGGACCTATTCTGAAGACTTTGTTTATATAGAAGTGACTGAATATTTTTTTAAAGGGGGGGGGAAAGTACTGCACTTGCACAAAAGCCAGTTTTTTATTGTCAGTGCAGCTGTTTTAACTTTTAAAAAACCACAAGCATTTTATCCTCTAAAACTTTAATTTGAAAGACATAGAGCTTTTAAAGAAATACAGTGTTTCTGGAACTGGTGTATGTTAGCCACCCTACTTCTGTTCTCTTTAAACTCTTGAGTTAAATAAAGTTCCTAGGTCTAGATATTACATGTAAACTTTTCACACCAAAATAGGTTACTGCTGAATTCTGAGTAATCTTTGAAATGTTGTTATAACAGAAGCAGTATCATTCATAATAGAAACCAAAGGTAACAGTAGCTCAGTTCTCATGATCTCTCTAAGCTGAATGAATTTTCCATAGACACAGAGGCAGATGCCAGAAGGAAACAGTTGTGTGTTTTCCTGGGTTCACTGCAGCCCAAGGCATGGTAAATGTTGTTTTTGCTTCTTTTTTATGCTATGGCAATGATTTCCACTTCCTGTTACATAGCAAAACCTATTCTGCTGTTAAAAGAGGTCACTCGATGTATTTATTACAACATTAAGACCATTTCATCCATGGAAATAACTTTTTATTGTTCTGAGTCACTCTGGTTTGTGGAATTTTTGCATGAGTTCCAGGACAAGGATGAGATGATATATTTATTTTATTTTGTATCCTTTTTCTTTTTCTTTTAACTGCATGAATGTCAGGCTTGTTGTCAACGTATTTCCATATTTTTATTACTTTAGAGGTTACTCTGCTATATTTATGTCTCCTAAACTCTTCATTGACAATTCACTATGTGAACTGGGCGTGTATTTTGGCAGAACTACCTGCTTTTCCCACTGTCATGTGATCTCTTGTTTTTCCTTTAGCTATTCATGTCTTCTCCATGTATGTCTTTACCGTGTTAAAGGTTATACAGACCTTCAGAAATATTTAAGTTATTTGTTGAGCTGCTGGAAGGACTTGAACTGAATTGTGAACTTCCAAAGGCATTTGTTATGCCTTAAAATGTTTTCTTGTATTAAGTAAACCTCACTAAAAGTATTCCCTAGTTTAGCCGAGAATTTCTGTGTGCTTGAGGCTACAGCCTGGAATTCCAGAAAGACCCCAAAACTCATTTTCAAGTATTCTTTGGTTTGATTGCAGTTATTGTATTTGTTAATTACCTCTAGGGACCTAGGTTAAATTTAAGTGACAGTTCAGATTTACCAAGAAGATTTAGATGTTCTGACATTTTTTAGGAAATATTTGAATAGAAAACAACAGCTGTCCTATGTGCCGAGATTTCAAGGTACTGGTTATTGTCATGGATGTTCCTTCCACATATTACTCCATGTGTGTGCAATTCTTACAGACTTACTTCACATTTAAATTACATCTTGTACTTTCTGGCAAGGGTAGGAGGAGTGGCTGTTCTGCCTCCCACTGTTCTTGACTCATGTGCCCAAACTAGTTGCTCTTTCAACAGTGTCCTAAGTAACCACTCTTCCCACAGTGTTGTTCTAACTAGTTAGCCTTCCAAAAGAAAAAGGCACTGTTATATTGACTTAAGCTTATTTAAGCTAAAAGGAGACAAAGTGGACAATTTCTAATAGATAACTAACTTCTTCTCTTGCTAATGAATTTGGCTGGTCCAAACTATGTTACATATATTCATATATTCACAAGGGTGTGTGTGTGTGTGTGTGTGTGTGTGTGTGTGTGTGTGTGTGTTTGCACATGGGAGCATGATTCAGTGTTCAGAAGTTTTAGATTATTGGTTTTCTTTTTAGAAAGTGGTACAATATTAATCTGGATCATTTTCAACAGGTTGACATGATGAAAGAAGCATTAGAAAAACTTCAGCTCAATATAGTAGAGATGAAAGATGAAAATGCAACCTTAGATGGTGGAGACGTCTTATTCACAGGTATGATTGTATTTACTTGTTCCTACCCAAAAATATTTCTAATATTGGGCTCATCTTCACTTGTTTTATTATAGTTTTTTAAATTACCCAAGTAAAAAATGCTAAATGCAAGAAACTTGGAAAATACAGAAAAGCGCAAAAGAGAAGAAGAAAATAAAGATGAACTTTTACCCAAAGATAAACATTTCAATATTTAGGTGTACGCCTTTTTTAGTACTTTTATATGTATGTATTTGCACATTTTTTACAAGAATGTTATCAGTATGTACATATCATTTTGTATGTTTTGTCTACTATGTTGTTCTACAACGTAAGTTCATGGGTTTCATGGTTTTTCATTGTGTGACAATATATCTGATTCATGTGTAAAAGATTCTTAATTCAAGATGTGTCATTTATAAGTAATTTTCTTCCCAGTTAGCAAGATGAATTTAAATAATTATCAGTACAAATCAACTTGGCTTAATGCCAAATGAATAATAGCAGAACTCAACAAATACAAACACCTAATGTTCTTATTGATCTAACTGAAATCAGTTTTTACAGTGGGTCTAATATAGCTACTAAAGAAAGAGTGATTCAACAAATCATCAAACAAGTGTTGGCGAGGGTGTGGAGAAAAGGGGACTCTAGTACACTGCTGTTGGGAATGCAGACTGGTGCAGCCACTATGGAAAACATTATGGTGTTACCTCAAAAAATTAAAAATTGAATTGCCATTTGACCCAGTGATCTCACCTCTAGGAATATATTCTAAGAAACCTGAAACACCAATCAAAAAGAATATATGTACCCCCATGTTTGTAGCAACACTATTTACAATAGCTAAGATCTGGAAACAGCCCAAGTGTCCATCAGTAGACGAATGGATAAAAAAGCTGTGGTAGATATACACAATGGAGTACTATGCAGCTGTAAGAAAGAAAGATCTCTTCTTTGAGACGACACGGAGGGACCTGGAGAGTATTATCCTAAGCAAAACAAGCCAAGCAGAGAAAGACAAATATCACATGATCTCACTTATTTGTGGAATATAATGAACATAACAGTCTGAGGAACAGGGAAGATCCAGAGATGTGGAAATAAAATACAGACTGACAATCCTCAGAAGAGGGGGAGAGGAGGGAAGAGATAAACCACAGAACTTATATGCATGTATGCATAACTGATGGACATGGACAACAAAGTTGGGTACGAAGTGGGGGGGTGTGGGGAGGAGGGTGTCAATGGGGAAAAAAGAAACATTTGTAACAAAAATAAATTAATTTAAAAAGTGATTTTGGCATTTTACCTTTCCAGCTCTTTATGATCATATGATGGTTCTGTAAAGTCATGTGCTAAATTCTGGATGCCAGATTCATTCTAGTTGTACTTAGAAGCATAGCAATCAATAATAATTTTTAATTTATAGTGAGAGTTTATTATCCTGTATATGTCAGAGAATAAATACCTGTTTCACAGATGTAGCCTTAACAGCAGAGGTTGATCCCAGCATTCTGGGATTGTAGCCCCAAGGGGCCCACTGAAAGCAGGAAGCTTATTGGAGTCTAATATTTTAGCTGATGTGAATCTTATATTGAATCCCATGTATATAGACAAAATAGAGCCATCTTCATTTCAATATAAAAATATCTTGTAATATCTTAGGTTTTGATATAATTAATGTTCCTGGCTATCACAGACCTATGGATGGGACCCCTATGTTGCCAAACTCTAGGGGTGTCATTCTTATCATAAGTGTGTGAACAATATCCCTGGAGTTGTGCACTGTACAGCCTGTGCTTCCCCTGTCCTGGGCAATGGCCCTACCCCTGGGGTTCGATGAGCATACCCACTGAGCCATAAGAACACAGAACAGGGAGTCAAGGAGGCCCGCCTGCATTCTCAGCTCCAGATGTATCCAAGCAGACTCAGGCATTCTTTGAATCTGCCTACTAAGTTCCCCTTAGAGTATTCTTTGTGTCTGCCATTGATGACACTTTCTTTCCTTTTGGCAGCACAGAACAGCCTGTTTCTCTTAGAAAATAGGCTTTTGTGAAAAGATAGATGTCTAAGTCACACTTTCTTACAATAAAATGCTTCTTTTGCCCTGGCCAGTTTGGCTCAGCAGTTGAGTGTTGGCCTGCGGACCAGAGAGTCCCAGGTTCGGTTCCCGCTAGGGGCACGTACCACACACACACAAAAAAAAAATTTTTTAAATAAAAATAAAAAAATAAAACGCTTCTTTTACCAAAACATAGCCATATAATAAATAACCTGTTAGCAGGTACTGATAATATTTGAAGTACGGTTTAAAACAAGCTGTGTTCATAGCCATTTAGTTATCTTAACAGCTAAGTTGAACAGATTCCCTAAAAGCTCATCAGTATTATGGCTCCACTTAAACCAGAAACCTCTTCCATTGATCAAAGGTCTTTCCACAGCATCTCAAGCCTAATGTTTTTGCCCCAATTTGTAATTAGGTACTAAGCATTGAGGCTTGCCTTTGACACTATCTGTAAACTTTTTTTTTTAAATAATCAATGCTTAAGCCGCCATCAACAAATCATCAAGTGCTGGGAAGGGTGTGGAGAAAAGGGGACTCTAGTACACTGCTGGTGGGAATGCAGACTGGTGCAGCCACTATGGAAAACACTGTGGTGTTACCTCAAAAAGTTAAAAATGGAACTGCTATTTGACCCGGTGATCCCACTTCTAGGAATATACCCTAAGAAGCCTGAAACACCAATCAGAAAGAACATAGGCCCTCTATATTCATAGCAGCACTATTTACAATAGCTAAGATCTGGAAACATACCAAGTGTCCATCAGTAGATGAATAGATAAAAAAGCTGTGATACATGTACACAATGGAATACTATGCAGCTGTAAGAAAAAAAGATCTCTTATCTTTGAGATGACATGGAGGGACCTGGAGAGTATTATGCTAAGTGAAACAAGCCAAGCAGAGAAAGGCAAATATCACATGATCTCACTTATTTGTGGAATACAATGAACTAAACAAACTGATGAACAAAATTGACTCAGAGACATAGAGGTAGGGTACAGGCTGACAAACCTCAGAAGAGGGGATGTTGGGGGGAAGAGATAAACCACAGAACTTATATGTATGAATGCATAACCCATGGATATAGACAACAAAGCTGGGGAAGGGGGGAGGAGGATATCAATGGGGGGAAAAAGGAGAAACATCTATAACAAAAACAAATTAATAAAAATAATTTTTTAAAAAATGAAAAGATAAAATCACAATTTTATACTGTCTTACAAAAAAAATAAATCAATGCTTAAGTTAATATCTTAAAATTATTCTATCCAAAACTGAGATTTTGTTGGGATAGTAAAATCTATCTGCTTGGCATCTCATTCATACCTAACTCTGGTCCTGCCTTCTATTTCCTACTTCTCTTTTTTTTTTCCTTTTTAAAAATTGTGGCAAAATATATAGCCTATAAAATGTGCCACTTTAACCATTTTGAAGTGACCAATTCAAGTGTGTTGATTACATCACAATATTATACAACTGTCACCACCACCCAGTTTTGAATTGGCAGAGTCGGGTAAGAAACATCATCTGTACTGCTTTCGTGGGCTGTGTCCTCTGCCTCTGGAACTCAGGCCTTCATGAATAATTGGTCAGGACACTGAGGGCAGGGGAACAGCTTCCCAACTCCAGTTCCACTGGGAAGTTTGTCAGTTAGGTGAACTGCTACTGGTAGAAACTTTTTCAATCCTGTTTCTCTTAAATAGACAACATCAATTTACTTCTACTTTTATTTATTTACTTTATAAAATAAGGAGCATATAGAGTTATAAATGTTTAGGTACACTTTAAAGACCAATAATAAAATGAACACCTGGGGGCCTAGCACCTGGTTTAAGAAATAGAACGTTGCCAGGCCCTGGCCGATGTGACTCAGTTGGGTAGGCATCCATCCCATGTACCGAAAGGTTGCCAGTTCAATTCCCAGTCAGGCAGGGCACATGCCCAGATTGTGGGCTTGATCCCTGGTAGGGGGCGTGCAGGAGGCAGCCAATTGATGTTTCACTCTCACATTGATATCTCTCTCTCTGTCTCTCTCTCCCCCTTCCTCTCTCTAAAAATCAATAAACTAAAAAAATTAATAAAAGAAATAAAACATTTCCAGGACCACAGAAACCCAGTCCCAACCTCTTTGTCCTCTAAGCCTGAGTTAACCACAGTCCTTAAGTTTATGTTAAGCACTACCTGCCTTTCTTTGTCGCACCTCAGTACATGTATTCCTAAAGTATATGTTTTTTAGTTTTGCTTGTCGTACAGCTTTAGATGTGTAGGGTCACAGTATATAAAGTCTTGTGTGACTTTTCTGCTCTGAGGTAATCTGATGCGAGTAGCGGTAGTTCATTTTCATTGCTGTGTGGTAGTTTGTGTAAGAATCGATTGTGATGTATTTATTCATTTTACTACTGATGTACATTTGATTGTTTTCCAGGGTTTTTTTTTGTCTATTATCTTCAGTACTGCTATGTACATTCTTGTGTTTATCTCCCCGGGACATACATAAGAGTTTCTTTAAAGTAAACAGCTAGAAATGGAATTTCAGATGAAACACTCTTTTTTTTTTTTTTTTGCTTCAATGATATGATTATATGATTTTTCTTCTTTAACCTATTGATGTGGTTAATTACATTAAATGATTTTCTGATATTTCACCAGTCTTACATCCCTGAAATGGAAACAAACTAGTCATGATATATTTTCTTTTTACTACAGTGTTGGATTTAGTTTGCTCATATTTTAGGACTACACTGTGGCCTATAATTTTTCTTTCTTGTTATCTTTGTCTGGCTTTGGTAAAAGAGTTATGGTAACCTCATAAAATGTATTAGGGAATATTTTCTATGTTTCTCTTTTGTAGTCAGTACTATTTGAATCGTGCATTCCTTGAACTAGATAGAATTTACCTATAAGCAGGCCCTGAGGCCGGTGCTTTTTTTGTGGGGAGATTTTAAACTCGTTGTGTCTTTAGTGATTGTATCATCATTGAGGTTTTTCTGAGTAAGTTTTGGTACCTTCTGATTTCTAAGATTGTATCTCTTTTATCTAAGTTTTCAAATGGTGGATATAAAGTTATTCATATCTTCTACATATCTGTTTTAAGCATCACAACTATAGCATGTTTCCTTTTCACTCAAACTGTTTATCTGTGCCTTCTCTTTTTTCTTGCCAGAGCTCTGTCAACTTTAAAAATCTTTTCAGAGACTCAACTTTTGGCTTTGATGAGCCCTCTCTCTTGTATGTTTCCTCTCTTCTTCCTGTTTCTACCTTTATTTCCTTCCTTCAGATTTCTCTGTTTTACCCTGTTCTTTTTTCTTACATTTCAAGTTGGAATTCTCTCTTTAATTTTGAAACTTTCCTTATCTTAGTGAAAACTTTGAAAAGCTATGTAACTCTCCCTCCAAGTGCTACTTTAGCCGAATCCTTAATGTTTTCAGATTCATATTTTTGTTATCATTACTTCTAAGTGTTTTTTAAATTTCCATTCTGATTTATTCTTTGACCCATTAGTTCATAATAATGTTTTTTGTGAAAACATATTGGTCGTTATTTTAAATTGCTGGGACAAAGAGTCAAGCACGTAGCCTATCTTTCCTTTGTAAATTCTATTTCAAGTAGAACAAATACTTGATTGAGGAAAGGTTTTCTTTTTACAATTCTATGCAGTAAGTGTAGGTCCCTAATAAAATAATGGATCTGTGCAATGATCATCAGAGGACGTTAAAACCTTTGTATGAAAGCTTGACAGGGAACTTCACAATGGAGCGATCAGTGTGACTACCTGAACACACTGCCTGTTCCAGTAGCACTGAAAACGTGAGAGTCAGTCATGGCTTCGTGGTATGATGAAGCACAGTCCCACCTCTGAAGTACTCCGAGCCAAAACAATACGTAAAGAAGTGAACAATAATCTAATTAAGCAGCACCATGAAACTATTACTTTACCGCAAAATACAAAACATAAAAGAACAATGTAATGTTAGATGATACACACACAAGGAAGCAATCAGCCAAATCCAGAATGTAAGGTAGTCAGTAGGACAAATAACCTTGTTTCTCCTATAAAAGAATGAAGGGCGGGAGGAACAGAAAGAGGATGAATTGGTATAGAAGAAAATGATATAGGAAACATACAATCAAAACAAATTTATTCAATATTTGCATTTCAGCTTTTTTTATTAGTTCTTTTTACCAAGAAGGCCATTTAGGGGATCTAGCCCCCCATACAGCAAGAAACTTTTTATTTATTTATTTATTTTATTTATTTATTTTTTATCCTCACCCAAGGACATTTTTTCATTTTTTTGTTCAGATAGAGTGGGAGGGAGGGAGGGGGAGAGAGAGAGAGAAACATCGACGTGAAAAGGACACATCGAGTGGCTGCCACCTGCACAACCAACCAGGACCAGGGACAAACCGCAACCGAGGTACATGCCCTTAGCGGGAACCGAACCCAGGTCTCTTGGAACCACAGGCCAATGCTCTAACCGCTGAGCCAAACCAGCCAGGGCCCAACTTACTTTTTAAAGAGATAAGCAGTTTGCTTTTCTTTGTACTTTCCTACCTTGCCTTAGTCTTTGAAAGTGGAAATAGTATGCAAGCCCTATTATAAATGTGTTTGAATTTGCTTAATGCATTAAATGTTTTTCTTAAAAATTATATATAAGTCTAAATTATAAATCTATTTTTATCTTAATTAAGGAAATTTAATGTTGCTTTTTTGATAAAGTGAGTCAAACTTTTGCCAAGTAAAGGACCTTTCCCTAACTCCGGTTTTGATTTGTATGTAATGAATTTTCTTAAGGGACAGTACAGTCATACCATTACCCAAAAAATGTCAATCTGCCACCAAAGATTCCAGTGTCTGCCAACCGCACAAGCCATTGGAATTTCTCAGAACACCATTTGACCCTTGATATTTACCTCTTTTATAAGCACATCATGAAGATTAAAGTTGTAACATTTATAAACTCTATCAATTTTTTCTACGTGGCTTACTCTTCTTACACTCCACCCTACCATTCTGGGGCAAAAATATACTGATTTATCTTTGAATATGTTTTCTTCCTTTCATATAGAATTACTTTTTCAAAGAATTTAGGGAGGATAAAAATCCCCAGATTGTGTATTGCCTAATTCTACCTACTGTAATTGTTTGCCTAAACTAGAAGACCATTTTTATTTAGTGTTTTGTTTTTTAAGAAGAAAATCTGTAGAATTTCAGAAAAGCCAAATAAGAAGAACATTGTATCTTCCTAAATTTTCGTATTTGTATGTAGGCATCTTTGATGTTTTTCTTTGAAATAAATGGGTGTAGAGTTTTAAAGTCAGCAAATACTACACTCACTGTATACCCAGATGGCTTCTTCAGCCCTCATTTCATTGTTATGAGAAAGGAATCCGACGTCATCGAGAATGTCTAGAATTGTTCTTTCACAGGAAAAAAAAAAAAAAAAAGAGGAAGCACTGCTAACTTATCATTGCTACTTCTCAATTTCTAGTTACAGAGTATTAATGTGTTTAATTCTATTGTTTCCTAAATAAAAGCTTAATTTTCCTGTTGAGGAGAATAAAATTTACCATTTATTTTTAAGGGCACAGTTCAGAAGCATTAACTACATTCACATGGTTGTGCAACCAGCACCACCATCCATCCGTCTACAGCACTTTTCCCAACCCCAGACGGCAACTTTACATCTGTTCAACACTGACTCCCCAGTTCCCCTTTCCCTCCTGCCCTGGCACCCACTATTCTATGTTCTATCTCTATGAAGTTGAAAAAGTTTATGTCTAAGGGCGAGAGTTTGAAATCAGATTTGTGTGAAAAGAGCAGAGGTCAGATGTAAGTACACCTGCTCTCTGGCAGGAAAGAGCTGTGTGCTGCTTTAAGCTCCTTGTTGATAAAGAAATCGTGTGCTGTCACTGCTGCCACCCACTCACTGTGTTCCATGACATTTATTGTAGGCAGAGAATTTTTTGTGGGTCTTTCCAAAAGGACAAATCAACGAGGTGCTGAAATCCTGGCGGATACTTTTAAGGTAGGTGAAAGATCATTTATGCCTGGCACAGAGTAATTAGTGACTGTTCATAGACCTACTGAACCCATAGGTCATGAATATTGGTACTTATATGTCACTGGCTTTGCAAACTAATTTCTAATATTTTTATGTTTGTTGGAAGTTTGGGAAGCTATCAAGTTCAGAGTTCTCAATAAACAGGCTTTATTGAGCTACCACAGCAGCAACAAAGTTATCACAGACATCTGTTTTCTCCCAGTATATAATCATATATACTGTGCCACAAATGTCCATGGCACAATTGATGACTTAAAAAAAAAAATCTGGAGACTCAATTGACACTAACCTGAAATGTGGATTTTTCATATTGGAATAAAGGGCCACCTGTACTTGGGTGCCCACTATGCTAGGTGTAATGCACATCCTCTCAATTTACCCTATTGATCACTAATAGGTTGGCTCACCAGGTTGCTTAGGAAGGGATAGAACTCCCATGAAGCTCTGTTCCCCATGAAGACGTGAGGCTCTAGTTTGCACAGGATATTTAGACACATCCTTTCAGAGTAGCCCACTCCATAGATCAACAAAGCTATTGATACTGTCACACATCTGGAAGAAAGTTCTGCACTTTCTCCTTAGAAGCAGTCTTCATTTAACTGACAATACCGAAACCTGTGGGTCCCTGTTTCCCTTCCAGATAGGCCCCTGGCAGCATCCAGGGGAGTGAGCATGATTCAGGCAGGTTTAAATAGGTTTTAGAATGACTCTGCAATGCCAAATTGCTTGTTTCTATTATTTGCATAGGACTATGCGGTCTCCACAGTCCCCGTGGTTGATACTTTGCATTTGAAGAGTTTCTGCAGCATGGCTGGGCCTAACCTAATTGCAATTGGATCCAGTGAATCTGCGCAGAAGGCCCTGAAGGTAAATACAAAACTGGGTACCTTCTCAATGAGCAGGTCATGCCTGCCACATGGTGTTTCTAATTCTGTCTGCTGGGTGGGTAGCAAGCAGGGGTGCAGGCAAAGGACAGGCTGGCACTTGAGCTTCCTCTGACATACACTGTCATGACTTCTCATTCATCAATAACCAGGAACACCTAAGTGATGGACCATTCTTATTCACACACCAGGTTTCCTGGAAAGGTCATGGTTCAGAAGAGTAAACATCAAACTCATCACATTTATTTCCTCCGTGAAAAGGAGGCTGCCACCTTTATAGCTCCTTGTAATGTTTCTCTCCCAAGTCAGGTAGTTGGCACACAAAGGGTTGTATATTATTCTTATCCTTTTATATATCTGAACTGTTTCATAGCAGTCTTATAGAGAGCCATGACTCAGAAGAACCTAAAAATCTAAACTTCATATGCATTTGGAATACATAACTTTTAGGACAGGAACTTTTCTCATTTCACAGATGAGACTAGGAAAATCCAGGGGGAAAACAATGACTTGCCCAGGTCACACAACTGAATCATGAGTGGAAGCCATGGATACTGACAAAGACCTTCCATGTTACAGTGCTTCACAGTTCAGACACTTTCCATCTCTGTAACTAACAACCCCACCAGATGATCCGGACTCTGCAGAAGGGTGAAGACCATGTCTGTTTGGCTCACCATTGTGCTTAGCCCATAGTGGGACCTCAATAAATATCTGGTGGGTGGGTGGGTGGGTGGGTGAGAGATATAGTATTATCTCCATTTTGTACATGAGAACTGGATCAAGTGACTCACCTCAGATAATAAGGCCAATACTAACTGGTGGGATGGGACTACCACCCCTTCCTCTGAGGTAGTCCTGCACAACAACAAACACGACCTACTAAAGGACCAGAGATGGAAACTCCTCTTAGGCAAAGAGAGGAAATCTGTGTGCCCCAAGGTATACAATGTACTTTTTTGCCCTTTTGGGTCTTTACTCTTCTACTTCAGTGCTCAATGTGATACAGTTTGTGTGGGAAGCAGTCATTGCCTCCCAGGTGCTGAATTTCCCCTCTGCATTATCTGCAGTTTCTTTAGCCAGCTCACCTGGCCTTTCTTTCTTCCTTTTATCAAACTGTATCTTTGATTGTATTTCTAGGGCTTTGAACAATTGTTGCTGACTCAGAATTTGAATTTGGTGGCTTTTCCTTTGCTTCCTTGTGTTCTGCTTCCTCTAGAAGACTTTGTCAACTTTCAGCATATAAGAAAGATGGTGTTGCCCTGGCCAGTTTTGCTCAGTGGTTAGAGCATCGGCCCACAGACCAAAGGGTCACAGGTTTGATTCCCGGTCAAGGGTACATACTTAGGTTTCAGGTTCAAACCCCAGCCCCAGTGGGAGTCATGTAGGAGGCAGCTGATTGAGGTGTCTCTCTCACATCGATGTTTCTCTCTCTCTCTCCCTCCCTCTCTCACTTCCTTCCACTCTAAAAAATATCAATGGAAAAATATCCTTGAATGAGGATTAACAAAGAAACAAACAAACAAAAATGAAAGATGGTGTCTTGAAAGAGAGAATTTGATGAATGATTTTACTCAGAGTGCTCTAGGAAGATTATTTTTCTCCTTAAGGTCTATTTGTGGTATCTATCCATGGCAGCTGGATTGGTCTGTGCATGTCTAAAATTGATTACAAGAGAAAGAGAAGGTTTATACTGTGCTTTTGTGCAACTTAGCAGAAAGAACATCTTCTGGTAGACAAGTAGCCCCACCTGCCATTCTTGCCATTCTGGGTAGATTTGGTTCTTAACTCAAATAGGTTTGTCCCTGACTCAATAGGTTTCTAACTTAGTAGGTCCCTAACTCAAATAGTCTGGAGAAACTAACATATAACAAATGAAAAGATAATGCAATATGGTCAACCAGCACTACATTATATAAAATAGCCCTGTTATTCAGAGGAGAGAGCTTCATAGTGAAAAATGGAGCTAGCTGCGGGTCTCAAAGGTTTGCAGGGTGGGACTCAGTGAGAGATTGTTGCAGTTGGGCACATGGTATCAATAAAGACTGAACAAAGTACATACATGAGATGTAAGCAAACTAGTCCAACTAATAGTTTTCTAGTGGGCTCCTGGAGATACAGCTTGGCGTAGATAAAGTCTGAAGAGGTAAGGACTGAAAAGTGTGGAAGATGAGTTTATCTCCATAAAGCTGGAGTCTGGGTACCCAAAAGGCTCTGAAAAGTAGTGTCTGTGTTGCTTCAGAGACGTTGGACCATGATTTCTTTTGCAAAAAAAAAAAAATAGAGGGGGAAGACCCTGTAGTCAGAGAGGACTACTGATGACCTCGGGCAGGTGTGGGGAACGTCCAGCCCGCCGGCCACATGACGCCCACAAAATCAATACCGGCTAACATCACAAGCCTCACCAAATTAGCCTGACCAAATATAGGAGGCTAATTTTTTAATTGATAATTTTGTATTGCCCTTAATGATGTTACAAATATCCAAATGGCCCTTGGCAGGAAAAAGATTTCCCACCCCTGATCCTAGGGGGAGAAAAGCCAAGCCTTTATACTTCTCTTTCCCACAGAGTTCATTCAAGTTAGTGTTAATAGTGATGTTCCCTGTATACTTGAAACCTTCTGTGTCAGAAGCTATAAATAATCCTTGCTGACTACAAAGGCATTCTTTGGAGATCGTGTTTTCTATCAGCATATGTGCTTCCTAAACCATGGGCCTGTGGAGTTAGCAAATGCCCACCTGCCCTGTTCCTATCATCAGAAAAGGCCCTCTTACCTTGTAATGAAACCAGGAGGACAAACAAAGCCAATGACTCATGGGATCTGTGTGAGGGTATGTTCTCCAGACAGAACTAGGTAGGTTGGTGAAATCCAGATTTAATGAACTGAACTGCTTATTTATTTGAGGTCAGTTTGGACTCCTGTATAAGAAACAATCAATAAAGTTGATAGTGGGGTAAGTCCTACTATTAATTTGGAGATATAAAAACTAGTGTAGATAGACAAAAAGACAAATGGATAGAGACAGATACATCACTTGCAAGTAATGAAAGCACATCTGTTTTAATTTTTCCCTCTCACAAGTGAAATACTGAGATCTGATGAAATCAGGCATTTTGAATGGGATCTTATGGTTTCAAATCAAATTTCCTGGGCCCTGATTCTCCTCTCCCCAGTAGCCCATCCCACACAACACTCATTCTTTTTCTATTCAAAACCTTTCCTATTCCTTTTTCATGGATTTGTTCTAGCTGAGCATCCCATTTCTCCTCCCCTCTCTCCAACTGTTTCCCCCATCCTGTTTTTTTTGTTTGTGTCCAGGATCTGACCTGTCTCGGGAAAGATGTGAGTTTGGTCCCAGATAATCTGTTTTTCCTTTGCAAATCTTGATGCCTCGATCTTGCCTCTGTAGAGAAGCCTCGGGCAACTTGGGCATGTCTTTGAAGGGCAAGGCATTTAAACAGAGGTGACTGTTCCTTCCTGCACCACACACTGAAAGCTTGATGACTTCCCACATCTGTCACTGTTTGCAGAGTACTTGCTTCCTTCTGGGTCTAAAAACCACTTCATACATATTTATGCAAAGCTGAGAGCCCAAGGGTTTCTTGTTGCATTCAAAACACTTGGTGGTGGCTTGCAATCTATTCTTGGTTGAAGTGGGTTCTTGTAGATAGTAATCATGCCTGTCTAAGGCTGTAGTAGATCTAAGTGTGTGCATTAGATAGTTCTATGAAATCACCCATCTAGGAAGACTTTAGCAATTCTCTGCTAAAAAGCCCAGAACACATTTAATATAGGGTACATTTAATATGCATTTAACACAGAGTATATTTAATACAGAGAAGGAAGAAAGGAGGACATATCATTACTACATTTTACTGTTGATATGGCCAAGGTACTGGAGGTTAGGTTCATTGAACAGATTCCTAAAGATATTTGACATCAAGTCTTTTCTTACAAATACTATTATCTAAGCAAAATTGGTCTTTAGCGCAATCTGCCCTTTCTGCAGTTTTTCTCCCAGACTTTCCATCATTCCCTTCATCCCCCTGGGCAACCACCTTCATCCTGCCTCTCTAGCTATAAAAGAAAATAGTGTAAGATTAATTCATGCACTGTCAGTAGACGTACTGGTACTTATATCTTGCAGAAGAAATGTTTGCCTTCTCATGGACAAGAGAGCTCCAGTTGCTGCACAGCTGGTACTGCTGCTCACAAACACAATTTGAGCAAAAGAAGTCAATCTCCAAAACACATGTATTCTATTATTTCATTCACTTAAAGTTAAACAAGAGATGAAGCTATGCTATGCTGTTAGCAATCAGAATGGGGGTTACTTTAAGAAGGAGGAAGGGAGTCATGGTCCAAAGGGCCACTTTGGTTTTTTGTTTGTTTTTGTTTTGTTTTTTTAATCCTCAGCCAAGGATATTTTTCCATTTATCTTCAGATAGAGTGGAAGTGGGGGAGGAGGGACATTGATGTGAGAGAGACACATTGATTGGTTGCCTCCCACACGACCCTGACCAGGGACAGGGACAAACCACAGGTACATGTCCTGGCCGGAATCGAACCTGTGACTCTTTGGTCTACTGGCCAACACTCTAACCACTGAGCCAAACTGGCCAGGGCCAAAGGGCCATTTTTTACATTCTACTTTAATTATTAAAGTGTAGAAAAAAGTGCATGTATTATACTGTTGGGAATGGGCCATGATTTACTAGGAAAGATAATTTTCCAATATCTACGGTCTAACTCTCAAACCTCTGCAAAGTGCATGTATTATACTGTTGGGAATGGGCCGTGATTTACTAGGAAAGATAATTTTCCAATAGCTACGGTCTAACTCTCAAACCTCTGCTTTACTTTGTACATGATGCCTATCTTTCCCAGACTAACCTGTTGTCCTTGTTTTTAATTAAGATAAAAAAGACTGAAACTTTGTACCCTTTGACTAATATATTCCCATTCCCCTCCCCCAGCTCTT